TTTCAATGTTGGTCCCAAGATATTAGATAAAAAATAAAAATAAGAGATATCACCCCAAAAATTACCTCATCCACCTTCATGTTTAATGCTAGCAGTTTACTGGGGACTTAACTATCATCCTGAAATTTTATCTTAATCCTCACTAAAACTGTCCAAGTATGAGCCTGGAAATTTACATTTTTATTTTCTGCTTAGCATACATTTTAATGCATTAGGCAAGGAGGGTCGGGTAAAGTTTGTTGTGGTTTCTATTTCCCGCCCTCCATATAGTTTTCCAACAGTGCCACCTTTTGAAAGCAATAGTTATTTTCTTATTTTTCCAGTGGCAACATGTTGTAATAGCTGTAATTTACCTTCTCATATAGACAAAGAATCATCTTAAATATATTAATGGATAGAAAGTCTCTATAGTAGTAGCTTCCAGAAGCATATCCAGTTGATCCTTCATACAACCAGGATCATCAGAGTCCTGCAGAATCATACTATTCAGTTACTCAACTGGCAGTTCTTCTCATGTAACAACAACAACAACAGTTTAGTCTTAAATCATGCTGAGAAAAGTCTCATAGCTGCTTATTTGGTAATCGCTCAGAAGAGTTGTATTAATGTGTGAAAAGGTAGAACCACTATGGTTTACAATTACATAATACCTAGTTCTTATAGCACTTATCAGAAGATATGAAAGCACTTTGCAAAGGAGATATCCCCATTTTACAGATGGGGAAACTGAGACAGAGAGGTGAAGTTGCTTGCCCAAGGTCACCCAGCAGGGTAGTAGCAGAGCAGAGAACAGAATGCCCAGGCCAGTCCTTTATCCACTAGACAATACAGCCTTCTGCGATCAGGGCCCGGTTGTGTTAGGCACCATACCTACCCATCTGGCAGAAGGCTGCACTGTGTTGTTGGCAGCAATGAGGGCTAGGTTCAAATAGCTAGGGGTCCATCTTAAAAACCTAGCACACACCACTACCTTGGGCTACCACAGAGAATTTCTGGGATTACTAAATACCTTCTGTAGGTGACCTGAATAGACAAGGCTTCCCTACTCATAAGCACCGGGTCTTTATGAAACAAGGAAAACTATTACTGGAAAAGGAAATATAGCAACAGTCTATCTATACAGATAATAAAGAAAACACTGTCCCACTGCAAATTTGGCAGGGGTTTGTTACTGTGGTTCTGCCTCCTCCACCCTTGCCCCAGTGTGAACATCCAATAAGCAAACATTTCTTTACATCACTTCCCCTTCCTCATCCATTAAAACCCACTCAAAGTTTGGTGTAATTGGGTAATGCAGTCCCAGAATCCTGAGGACCTATCTTCAGCCTTTTGGGAAGGGCTACCTGGTCCTGTCCTGAGTCTTCACTGTCTAATCCAGCTATAGTGATTCTAGCTTTGTTTAGCCACCTTGTAGAAGAGGCCTCACTGGAGTTCATTCAGTTCTGCTGCTGTCATCTAAGGCTTTCACTAAGGGCTTGTCTACACTGACACTTTACAGCACTGCAACTTTCTCACTCAGGGGTGTGAAAAAATACACCCTTGAGCGCAGCAAGTTTCAGCCCTGTAAAGCGCCAGTGTAGACAGTGCACCAGCGCTGGTATCTATGCCCTTCGTGGAGTTGATTTTTTTAGAGCCCTGGGAGAGCTCTCTCCCAGTGCTCTGCCGCGACTACACAAGCCACATTCAAGTGCTCCCACGGCAGCGCTTTAACGTTGCCAGTATAGACTAGCCCTAAGAGGTCTTCATCCTCACTACAAAGTAGCCTTCCTCCCCTCCTCACAGGTCAGTTCCACTACCCAGCCAGTTCTGAGTTGTGTACAGTTATGGTGACTCCTAAAATTTCCACAGAAGGGGTAGAAAGCATATGCAAAAGAAGCTCTGAAGCTATATTCCCCCCCTGTTCACCAACAGATGGAAGCAGACAGCTTCTTACCCTCCAGTGCTTCAGGCCACAGGATTTACAATAGCAAAAGAGATGAAGGATGGGAGAACAGCAGTATTATCCCTATTTTACAGATGGGGAACTGAGGAACAGAGACTAAGGCCCAGATTTTTTTAGGGTATTTAGGCATTGCTCTGCTCAGCCTAGCTGTTTACTAGGTCCCATTTTCAAAAGTGACTTTAGGCACTGAAGGTGTAGGGTGTGGGTTACCTAGTACCAAGTGACAAAAATAAAGAATTGGGGGGGAGGGGGGAAATGGAATTCTAGCATTTTCAGTCTCCAGTCCATCCTAAAGCTGAGCCAAGCTTGCTCTTTGCCAGTAAACTCAAATTTTAGAGTTGTGAGTTCTCCCCCTCCAATTGTTTAAAGTACTGAGAGAGCTCTGCAATGAACACCATCATATGGAGATGACTCAGAATTGTCCTCATTGTAATAGGTAATACTTCTGTGGCACCACAAGAAATTCTATAAGGAAGTTTCATTACTTTAGAACTTCTGAGTTTTGTGACAAAAATCATCCTATAATTGATTAAGCATTTGTCCTGGACACTGGGACAAAGGAGTCTGTTGAAAAATGCCATGTCTCTAACTTCCACAGATGTGTGGATGACATCAGAGGTGGTCAGATGTGACCTTGGCTTCCCAGCTCATAAGGAGGATGGAATTGCCTTAATAGATTATAAAAATCATCACAGAGAGGGAGCACTAGAGCAAACACATTTTAATGTAACTATTAAACCTTCAGTCAAAACCATCATTCTTTCACATTCTATTACCACCTATAAATTAGATTTTACTCAAGCATAATAGCATATATGGACTTGACAATCTCTTTAGGTCAAAATAACTTCAGGATTGGAATGTTGATTTCTCCTTAATTTCAGAAAAGAACTTTGGTACAGAATTATACAAAACTATTCATTTAGGTCACGGTTCAGCAAAGCACTTAAATATGTCCCTTAGGCCATCTCAATTCAATAAAACACCAAGCATGTGGTTAAAAGTTAAGCAAGTACCGTAAGTCCCTTCAATTCAAAGGACTTAATTACCAGTTTAATTGTGTTGGTGATTAAGGAGATTAGTCACAATCCTATGGAGATGCTGAGCCCTCAGTTTCTGCTGACCTCAATGGGAATTGGTCTCAATTCAGTAGCTCAAGAGCTCCCAGACCAAACGTCTTTAGGCACATTCAAGTCCTGACGTCAATGGGAGCTAGGTGCCTGAATAGCTTTCATGGTCTGGGTCCTGGAGCCCACATTCTTCCTGACTCTTAATATTGCTTATTGGCACATGGGGGTAGCTTTTCAAAGGAACAAATGGGAGTCGCACACCCAAACGATCAGTTGGTGTACATAACACAGATTTCACTGGTCTATAATTTTTGAGAAGTCGTCTGTTTCAGAGATAAAATGTGCT